GTCCTGGTGTGGCGCTGTGGGCTAATGCGTCAGACTGCAAAGTTGTTTGAACTGCAAGGTCAGTGGTTCAAGCTCACCAGCTGCTCCTTGGAAACCCTATACAGGGTCGCTATGGGTCAGAATCGACTCAATGGCACTTAACAATAACAAATACCTAGAACATTCCACATTATTAATGGATGTCTGCAGCTGTTTCTACTCATTTTGAGTTGTGCCCCATCAGCAGATGAAGATCCTGAAAGCTTTGCCCTGTTCACATCCTTAAGGTCAGCTCTGCTCTGAGGAGGCTACCCTTTCCCCCTGAGGGGTTCCTCTTCCAGCACTATATTACGGTACGGAATGTTTTGCTACTTTTCATGAGGTTTTCAGTGACCAGCCATCAGAAGTAGGCTGCCTCTCCTTCTTCCTAGTCTGGAAGCTTCACTAAATCTGTGCACCATGGACGACCCTGCTGGGATTTAAAGGTGGCAAACCTCCCAGTATCACAGCGACATGCAAGCCACCACAGTATGACAAGCTGACAGACAAGCAGGGATGTGGATGAGACCGTATGTTGTTGTGATCCACAGGGTTCTCAATGACTGACTCTCAGAAATACATCCCCAAGTCTTCCTTCCTAGTTCATCTTAGTCATGGAAAGATGTTCAGCCTCCTAGCAACACTCAAACCTTCACCGACAGGCAGGTGATATCTGCACATGAGGTCCACTGGCTGGGAATTGAACCCAGGTCTCACACATGGGAGACAAGAATTCTACCAGTGAGCCAACAATGCCCTCATCCAACTCTTACAAGAAGTCAGCAAGAACTGACACTGAGCCGACTTTGACTCATGGCAACCATGTGTGTGTCAGAGTAGAACATGTGTCATAGATTTTCAATGGTTGATTTTGCCATTGAAGTAGGTTGCCAGGCCTTTCTTCTGCGGTACCTCTGGATGGACTGCAACCACCAACCTTCTCATTAGCAGTTGAGTTTGTCAACTCTTTGTTCCACCCAGGTACTCCCCAGTTTCAATAAACCTGCTGTCTTGGAGTTGATCCTAACAACTCCTACAGGACTCGTGGTGACCTAGAGGACAGGGTAGAACAACTCCATAAGGTTTCCAAAGCTGCAAATCTTTACAGACTCAGACGGCTTCCTCTTTCTTCCTTAGAGCGGTTGTTAGGTTTGAACCGGAGACCTTATGGTTAGCAGCCCAGCTTAACCCACTGCACCACCAGGTATCCTTTAAAAATAATTTTCCAAAATAGTTGTTCCAATCTTCTCTCCCACCAGTAAGTGTGAGAACAAGCCACTGTCATTGTAACCACACCAGTGGGGACAGGGAAGGAGGCTGGGCATGTATAGCGGAACACTGGGGTTACAGGCTCCTCTAATCCCCTCTCCCAGTGAGCTCCAAGTCAAATCCCTCCGACCGTCACCCTGGCATTCTTTTCTGCCTGCCTCACACCAATGCCAGACCAGGCTATTGTTGTTAGGTGTTATCCAGCTCGTTTAGACTCATAGCATTTCTATGTCAAACGTCCTGCCTGGTCCTGAGCCATCCTCACAATTGTTGTGTTTGAGCCCATTGTTCCTGTCACTGCACCAATCCATCTTACTGAGGGTCTTCCTCTTTTTCACCAACCCTCCACTTGACCAAGCATGATGTCCTTCTTCAGGGACTGGTCCCTCCTGATAACATGCCCATAATATGTCAGATAAACTCTCACTCTCCTCACTTCTAAAGAACATTCTGGTTGTATTTCTCCCAAGATAGATCTGTTTATTCTTTTACCAGTCCATGGCATACTCAGTATTCTTCACCAAGAGCCGAATTCAAACGCACCACGTGAATCCTGTCTTCCTCATTCATTGGCCAGCATTCACATGCATGAGGCAATTGAAAATACCCAGGTTTGGGTCAGATGCACCTTAGTCTTCAAAGTGACATCTTTACTTTTTAACACTTCAAAGAGATCTTTTACAACCGGTTTGCCCAATGCAATAAATACATCCTTCGATGTTTCAACTGCTGCTTCCATGGGTATTGATTGTGTAACTAAGCAAAATGCAACCCTTGACAACTCCCATCTTTTCTCTATTTATCATAATGTTGCTAAAGATGACAGCCTAGGAAATCCTGGGGGTGGGGTGGGGCAGTTCAACTCCATCTCATGGGGGACACTATGAGTTGGAATCAATTCGATGTCACAACAAGAAATAGGGACTTGAGGGCCTTGTCAATCACCTCTGCCTTCCCAGTTATGGTTACCCAGGTTGTCTGTGACATCTGACCACTATAAACAACACTGTGATGAACATCTTTGCCCTTGATGAGCTAATGTGAGCATTTCTTTCAACCTGTGTGCCCAGTTGGTGGTGCTGTAGGATCCTGTAAGAGAAACAGGAGACTTTCTGATAGTGTCAAGATTTGTTGTTGTGGAGAAAGGCAGAAACCCAACTGAATAATTTCCCTCCTGTCCAGATGGGTCTGGTAATGAGGGGGATATGACTTTATGATACAATTGCGAGGAATTGTTTTCCATTCTAATGGTGATTGTCACAACTGTAAATGTAGAAGAGGTGCAACTAAAAGGGGAGCAGTTCATCTGTCATCTCAGGACCAGGGGACCCAAGGACCATAAAGAGGGAAGAGCATGAGAGGAGCCAGGGATCCTGACCAGAAAAGCGGAGACAATAGAGATGGTGGCGGAGGCATTGGCATAGAGACACAGAGCAGCTCATGAACAAATGAGAAAAGAAACATGTCTGCGGACAGGAGGCTGGCTTGCAAAATGTGCCCTTTGGACATTTAAACAAATATATATTTACAATGGAGTCCTTGGTGTGGCACTGTGGGTTAATGCGCTGGACTGCAAAGTCATTTGAACCGCAAGGTTGGTGGTTCGAGCTCACCAGGCGCTCCTCAGAAACCCTATACAGGGTCACTATGGATCAGAACCGATTCGGCAGAATTTAACAATGTGGTATGTATACATCAAAATAAAAGGTAATAGAGGTAAATACTGTAAATACTGTTGGCTAAGGGTGCATGGAGGGGATTGTAATCATTACAATGATCAATGGAATGTAAAATGCGATCTGTCCTGTAAGCCTTCACTCACTCATACACAATAAAAGCTTTGAGGAAAAAAAACAAAAAAAGATTTGTTGTTAAGTGCTGTTGAGTCGGTTCCAACTCAGAATGACTCTGTATAGAGTTTCCAAGGAGCAGCTGGTGGGTTTGAACTGTTGACCTTACAGTTTTCAGTCCAGTACTATCTTACAATTCCACACCAGAAGTCCTCAGAATACAGGGTATCTGTGAGACAGAACTGACTTGATGGGGTCCTGGTGTGGTGCTGTAGGATAAGCACTGGACTACAAACAGCAAGGTTGGTGTTTCAAGCCTACCAGTTACCCCTCAGAAACCCTATAGGGGTCGTTATGAGTTGGAACCGACTTGATGGCACTTAACAACAATATATCCAGTAGGGGGCAAGTGGATACGTCATTTAATTCCCCTGTATCAAACTGCTCTTGGACAGACTGCCTCAGAGAAAGAAAACCAGTTCAGCTTCCTAATTCTTCCCACACTCCCACCTGAACCTGAGGCTTTGAGTTTTAGAAGCTGAGGAATGCGTGGTCTTTGTTTTCCATCCATTCTGATAATTCCTTCTTAGAGGAAATATCAGCCCCTTCTCTGGCTGCCTGCATGGGGAATGGAGGAAGAGGGAAAGGCCATGCCGATTAACAAATTAATAGCAAATCCTGGGGAAATTAGCGTTGGCAGTTAGACGCCAAGCAGAAAATGCTAAGGGACTTTTCCTCGGGTGTGAACGCCCCCTTGTGGTTCAATGGCCCCATTACACCTTAACAAATTTTACCTCCAGTGGTTCAATCTCACCTACCTCTGCTCAGAAACCCCATATAGCGTCTCTGAGTCAGAACCGACTTGACGGCACTTAATAAAAACTAACCCTAAAGAATACTGAAAGAACCCATGGGCTACCAGTCCTGGTGCACTGTAGAATCAGCACTGGACTGCGAACCACTAGGTGGGCGTTCAAACCCACCAGCTGCTCCTCTGAAATCCTATAAAGGATCACTGAGTTGGAACCGACTCTACGGCACTTAACAACGTAAAGAATATTGAAAGTACCACGGACAACCAGAAAGAATAAACAAATCTGTCTTGGAAAATTGCAGGAGAAAATTTTGTTATCTTTTAATTCCATTTGTCCTTTCGGTCGGGGACCATCTTTTTTCTCAGTCCTATCGCTGGCCTCTCCAAGAGGGCCTGGCACATGGTAGGTGCTCAGCGAACACGTGTGCTCTGCCTGAACACTTAATGATGCTCCCTGGGCCTTCATGACCACTCCCCGGGGCGTGGCCTAGGCCCTCTGTGATGTCACAAAGGGCCTATCATGTCTCTGGTTTTAGCCTTTGCCCTGTGGTTGGGGCTGAGCGCCCGGGGATCCCAGAGCTGTTTGCAATGTATCTCGTCGGTGCAGGAGGCCCTAGGTCACCTGCGCTTCACCCTGGTCCCCGGACGCTTCCACCAGGAGCAGCTGCAGGCCCGAGCTCAGTCACTGTTGCTAGGCATGGAGGGACCTTTCTTCCGGGACTACGCGCTGAACGCATTTGTAGGGAAAGTGGGTGCGTGTTGGGGAGGTCTGGAGTGGAGGGCAGTCCTAGGGGGGCTTGGGAGACATGCTTCGGGATGGCTTTCCTAGGGCTGGGTCAAGTCTGGAGGAAGGGAGGGAGGGGTCACTTGACCCTCTGGGGGACACATGAAGCCCCTCTTCCCCTGCCGCCCCCAGGGACAGCCAAACTGGACTCAGTAGCTTCTTTTGTCAAGAATCAAACGAAGACCTTCTTGGATGATTCTCTGAGAGGTAGGAGCTAAGACAGAAAGCCCGTCTCCCCTTCCCCTCTGGTCAGCGACTCCTCACTCTTATTTTAAAAATGAAATAAAAGCAAATATGGGTACAGCCTTCCCTGGGTGCCTGGCAATATGCTCAGTTCATCTCCATGGAATCTGTTATGATTTGCATTTTGCAGAGGGGAAAACCAACGCACAGAGAGATTAGGTGATAGGTACAAGGTCACACAGCTAGCAAGTAACAGAGCTAAGGATTTGAACCTGAGACATTAGGCTCAGTCATCTAATTCCTAACCTCCACCCTTCACTTCCTGACCTACAATGCCACCAGTGGCACTTTGTTATGGATTGACTTGCTGTTGTTGTTAGGTGACATCCAGTCAGTACTGACTCATAGTGAGTGACCTTATGCACAGCAGAGCGAAACACTGCCCGATCCTGGGCCAATCTCACCATCATTGTCAAACTTCAGCCCATTGATGCTGCCACTTGGCCAATCTGTCTCACTCAGGGTCTTCCTCTTTTACTCTCACCCTCCACCCTACCAAACATGATATCCTTCTCCAGAGACTGGTCCCTCCTAAGATGTCTGACTATGAGAGACGAAGTTTGGCCATCCTGGCCTCCAGAGAACACTTTGGCTGCACTTCTTCCAACATAGATCTGTTGGTTCTTTTGGCAGCCCATAGCACTTTCAATATTCTCCTCCAACACCATAATTCAAAAGCATCAATTCTTCTAC